CTGAATCATGGAGATGTAAAGAATCATCGTTCACTAAAGTTGGGGCTTAAACTCTTGAATCTCTCTATCGAATACTGCGTAGATGCTTTTCTCCAGTCAGTTCCCGCTTTCATCATTGCAACAAACTACTCATTACTGATACACCCATCCTGGACACAGTAGTTGGAAAATGAGAAGCAAATTAAGAATGGATGTATTGAAATAACATCATGTGGTGAGTATCGTAATTTCAAAGAACCAACTCTTTATCTGCATTGATGGAATAGTTGACACAAAGTTAAGTGAAATTAAGGGATAGTAAGAGTCAAAACCCTTGTCTGTCTCTACTTCTCTCACGATCACATTCAGGACAGCATCATCCTCTTCACCTGACTCATCGGCCAAAGCTTCCCGTAGCTCAGCTAACTCAATATATCCACTACCATCTTTATCAAAAAACATAAATGCTCTGCGGAAATGTTCATCATTCTCCATCTTCTGCCAGTGAATTATGAATTTCACAAACTCTCCATAATCCAAAACTCCATTCCCATCCACATCAGCCTGATCAAACCTCAAAAAAAATCATATTTGGAAAGTAAGAATATTGACCTTGAAATACAAGATCTTAATTTATTAGCATCCTTTCTTTCCAAAGTTCATTAATTTAGTTTATTCAGTACTAATGAAAAAGTAAGATGGTATTAGGAAAAAGCATGGGTAAACTTCTCAGCACCCTAAGCATAGTCGGCAGCCTCTAAGTGCAGGGCTATGGCCTATAAAGTCAACACCAAAAATTCATAAAGGTCGCTAGATATTGACACAAAGCAAGTACCTGCAATCCAAAACGAATAAAATGAAGTGAAACTCTAGAAAGTTAATAAATCAATTTACACCGCATAATTATTTAGTGTAGTTGTAAATATATCATTAAATAGAATTATAAAGAAAATTAAAAAATTATGACAAGATTTACAACACAACCAAGAAAATATGATTTTTTTTTTCTATTACACTAAATTGGAATGATTTCTTTGAAGTGTGAAAACCCATTTAACAACAATTTTCAACTTAAAATCTGATGTGCTTCCACATACTTTACACTAAAAAATAATACACTGCTCACTGCTAAAATGATGATAAAAGCATCAATGCAGATAAAGAGTTGGTTCTTTGAAATTACGATACTCACCACATGATGTTATTTCAATACATCCATTCTTAATTTGCTTCTCATTTTCCAACTACTGTGTCCAGGATGGGTGTATCAGTAATGAGTAGTTTGTTGCAATGATGAAAGCGGGAACTGACTGGAGAAAAGCATCTACGCAGTATTCGATAGAGAGA